CGCACACCTCCGCTGGAAGTTGGGGAGACGCTGCGCTCTTGGCTGTTGTTTGTGTTTTCTCCTCCGCTTTCTGTTATTTCTCAGTTTTAAAGCCTCGACTCTCTAAAGTTGGTTTTTGGTTTTTTTTTTCTGTAGCTCGAAATAATAGGTTTCAAAGAGTAAACCACGAGGGTTTTAGATCCCTCCTGTCAAAAGAAAACAAGGGTTGCTGTATTTTAAGTGCTTGTGAGCTTCAAAGTTGTGAGGCTGTCTGCCTAAGTAATTCAACAGTTTTAAAAAGCGCAATGCCTTCCATAAATGAAAGGCCGAAAAGATTAATTGCTTTAGAAAAGGGGGAGGGGGAGGGAAGAGAAGACTGCTAATCAAAACCAAACTATTTCCTTAGAAAAGACTCTATACAACTATTTAAAATATGTGCTAGTCTAGGAAAAATAGTTAAATGGAAAATCAGGGTATCTTGATACCACAGGAAGGGACAGCTTGCCAAGAATATCTCCAGTGTTCCCTCAACCTAAAAGTATCCCGTGTTGCTTTGATTGTTGCATTTACTTCGTGTAGCACATCTTCTGCCCTCAGCTCTGCATGAAGCAGCGGAGCACCTGGTATAGATTGTGGTTAGCAGAAGAGGGGGAAAATGTTCCTTTCTCTCTTACTGTTTTTTTTCTCTCCCCTTTTCCTGGCAGAGCACAATTCAGGACTGGGGTGAAGAGGTAGAAGAGGGAGCTGTTTACCATGTCACCCTGAAAAGAGTGCAGATTCAGCAGGCTGCCAACAAAGGAGCAAGATGGCTAGGGGTAAGTAAAGCTGGCACAGTGGCATTTTGGAAGGCTGCTCATGGACTTCAGAGCCTGCTCCAGGGAGCTGAATTCCACACGGATCGTTACAATATTAACTTTTAGCACTGACTGCTCTCACTATTTACAAAACTTGAAACACTGAAGTTGTCTTGTCTGGGTCATCTGAAATAACTTGCTCCTTGTGTTGACTCTTCCTCTTTTCTTGACATGTAAAGGAGATTGGACCAGTTGTGGCCGTGGGTCAGATGATAGTTAATGCAGAAACAAAGTTCTTGGCTTATGGCCTGGGAAGTTGAACAGTTAACAGTTATTTCAGACGGGGGCCATGTCTTGTTTCTGCTGTTAGGAACCTGTCTCAGATCTCCCAAACAAATAGTTGTGGTGTTTTGACTAATGAAGGCCTCTGAAAAGTTAGCAGAAACTTTGGTGAATACAGGTTTGGGTCTTATTTTCTTGTTGCTTTCCCAGCTGGATGAAAAATTAGTTGTCTACATTTCTGCAAGAATTACAGCTCTGTACTGTTTTTCAAAACATGAAGGCTTTAGTGGTGAGTAAAATGAGCTTAAATGCACATGCACTCAATCTGGCATGCTGCTGAGTGCCTTCACCTTTGTCAGGCCAAGTCCCCAGCTGAATATAAAATGTCTTCACTCTGTTGGAATCAGTGCAGCTGTGGCAGCTTGAGCCAGATCTTCAGCAGGTGGCTATAACTTTCATATTATTTTGTGGTGTTTATGTATTTTCTTCGAGGTCAAAGGCAATAATATAAAACTTGGTTTGATGTAGCATCCAGGTTGATATTTTAAAGACTTTTAAAACTGCCCAGATATTTATATCAGGTAGTTTTCCTGTGAAGTTCCGCGATATAAAGCAATACAGCAGTGCTGAAACCACAGTCAAGAAAGATAAGCAAATTCTGTCCTGCGTGCAGATAGTGCTTAGAATCTCCCCTTCCCATGTTACCAAGAAGTACACAGAGTTCTAATCAGAACAGATAATTTCAAATCTGCTTCCTTTGAGTGGCAGATTTCCCATCTCTGCCTCCTGTTTTTACCAGAAACAATATTAGAAAGTATTTTTGAGCTCCTGTAAATTTCCCAGCTGGTGGTTTTGTGCAAGAGGTGGAGATAATTTTGAACGTGTCTGTGTCCCATAAACATACTTTGGAAAAGTAGAATTTTTTTCCTGTTTTGGCTATGTTGTTCCTTGTACGTAGAAGGATTTTGCCAGGTCTCGATCATGTTCTCAAAGGAAGAGTGCATATGTGTTCCTGAGGTCATCCCCACAGCTGATAGTGCCGATCTTAATAGGAGGGCAAGGGACCGCAGGGTCACGGATGTGACTTCCAGCTTTCTGTGGCTAGCGTTAGTTTTTCCAGGCCGGAGTCGAGCCCTGTTTGTGGGGAAGGAGGCAGTGCGTCAGAAGTCCGCACCTGTTCCAGGCATCAAGCGGTCACTTCAGCCCCCAGGCTGGCATCTTTCACCAGCAAAAAATCTCAGGCATATTGCTTAAAAATATTTGTAAACGTATGGACTGTTTGTTTCCTTTCAGCTCTTCAGAACAGAAAATATTTTAAATCTCTTTCTGTGGTCTCCTTTTATTAGTGGCTTTACTGTGGTCCGAAAGTCAATAAACAGCCTCCAACCCAGAACATTTTCTGTGGATAGCCATCCCCACCCCCAGCAGTTTTTGCCTTGAAAAGAGTAGTTGTCTCTTTCATAATTGTCATCAGGTGACTTTTTTTTTTGAAGTCTGAAGGTTATAGGGGTTTATGGTGTTAATTTTTTTCTATGATTTGAAATTTATAGCAGAAAATTAATAAGCTGTTGGCTTTATCAATGTTGGTTTTAATTTTTTTGATGGTCCTCTAAGTCAGGCTTAGGTTGAAGACTCAAGGTCAACCACAGAGTGTGGAAACAACATCAGCAAGCCTTGAGCCTCCCTTGTAACAAATCTAGTAACTCTGTTACTGATTACATGCATTGGTGAATTTACTTTTTAAAAAGTTACTTTTTCAATGTCAGCTTGTGTCCTGTAAAGGTCTGCTTAGCAGTTTGACCTCCTCTGAGGCACCCAGCTTCTCCTTGTTTGTTGGCGCAGGTCAAGTTCCTTGTGACTTGCAGAGCCCAGGTCCCTTCAAACCTCGATGTTGAGCGTGGCTATGAAACACTGTGTGGCATCAGAGCAGGGCTCCAATCCAGCCCTTCCAGAGTGGTTAGTTCTTAGTGATGCTGCGTTTGTAAAGTGCTCGGAGCCTTTGCAGCTGAAAAGCGTTAGAAGGTGAATTAGCTGATGTGTCTGAGAGAAATGCAGATCTAATCGAAAATTTCATAGAACCTGTGTTGAAAGGAGTGTAAAAGGTCTTATTTATTCTGAGTGTCTTGGGATTTATTACCAATTTCTTTAATTACTGAGAAGCTTGAAATCTTGCTTAAATCTGTCCTTGTACAGGTACCAGTAAGTCAACGAACCTAGATCTTTTATGCTTCAAGAAGCCTAAAAAACCTTTCTTAAAATTTTCTGTCCTAAGAACCCATCCAGGGTTCTTGAACGGTTGGCCCTGTTATGAGAGAATGGTTTGTTTAAAAGCTAATCATAAGATTACAGCTTAAGCACCGTAAACACTTGCCTATTTAAATACAGAAACGTCTCGTGTTTCAAACTTCTTGAAGGTTTTATATAAACACCAAATTTCTTAGCTTTAAATTTAATATTAGACATCAAAGGATGCCAATAATAGCTACTGGTTCTGTCACTAAATGCTTAGTCACTGAATATTTAGCGAAGCTTAAGACTTTAGGCACTACAGTATTACGAAATATTAAAAGCCCTAGTAGTAGCTCAGTATTGTGATATATGCTGCACAGAAGCACTCCTGACTAAACAGAACTTGCAGATTAAATGTCAAAGGAGGCTTGTCTGCGCACATATGTTGTCTCAGCTGAGGATTTGTATTTGAGGCAGTGGTATCAATTTTGCGACAGTCTGATTGTTCTCAAGTTATTTGTAGTCATCAAAGCAATGGGGAGTCTTCACAAAATGTCAAAAGCCAGATGTAATTTCTGGAGATGTTGAGAGAGAAAACATGGTAGATTCATCACGAGAAAGCATGAAGGTGTTTTTTGAAAATGAAGGGGGGTTTCGTGTCTCCAGACCTCGAGATGTCTCCAGACCTCGAGATGTCTCCAGGATCTTGAAACAGATAATGTGGAGATTGGGAACGAGACATGAAGGCCATGGAAACTGAGATACATGGCCTAACTTCTTTGTGAGAGAGAAGGATGGAGAAGTGCAGATTTGTGTAGGTGGATGGCATGCTCAAAAGGGGGAATGAGGAGAACGCTTTCTGCAGCAGGCTTTTAAATGGACATTCAGCATCATTTTGAATGGCATTACATCAGGCCAGAGAAAAAGATGTGTTGGTAACTGCAACAGAAGGTTTGAGAGTGCAGCAAGGAATTTTAATGACGTGGCTAGAAAGAGAAGGTTGTATTTCAAAACCAAGACAAAGAGAGAACCTGAAAAATGAGATTCAGCGTTACCTCTGAGTACGTAAATACAGCCAGTAGGGAGGCTGGCACCCTATGCATAAAATAGGATGGTGCTATTGTCTATAGAGAAAGACAGCAAAGCAGAAAAAACAGGTGAAAAGTGTAGAGTTCTGTGGGGTTGTTTGCTCTTGAACTGACAGCCGGGTACCTATGAAATGAAACAGAGACAAGCTGAATCATACCATAGCCAGAAGCAGATAAGAGCAGTAAAGTAGTGGCTGTAGAAGTAGATCAGCTGCTAAACACCTCAATTTCTGTTGCCAGGAGCAGCGTGTTGACGGAGTATGAATGGCGTTGGAAGAGGTGAACTCCAGTCAGCGATTTATTGTAAACAGTAAACTGAAAATAACCAGTCAGTTGAAAGTGAAAGGAAAAAGCAGCAGGTAGAGAAGTGGAGAGAGGGAGGAAATGTTTAGGAGGTGAGAGACTGAAAGAGATTATGACTAGGAGAATGATGGGACTATAGGAGGCAAAAGGTACAAAAGAAGGCGGTATGAGGTGGGATCGGATCCGCTGGACAAGTAAAAGGATCAGAGGAGGGCTACAGGAAAGAAGTTTCCGCGCTTCTCAAATGGTAGAAATGAGAATTGTTCAAAGGGTCCTTTGCAAAGAGGAGCAAGGGATGGAGAATTTGAGGAGCTGGGACTACAGATGTGGAATGAGATTAAACTGGAATACTGGAATTGCTTGACTATGGAGTGGACAAAATTGAAGAAAGAGGGGAAGGAAAATGGCCTTTCTCGTGAAGGTAATTGGCCTGGTGGTTCTGTTTGTGCCAGATGCCAGTGGATGCATACACTGAAGATGCACCAGGGCTAGAGGCCAGCAGAATGGGCCTTATGATGATGGAAAGAGAAAAGAATGAATGGTGTAAGACAATAAGGCAGGAAGAAAATGATTGACCATATAAATAGCCAAGAGGCAAGTGAGGAGGTGGTCTAAGATTACCCAGATGGGTGAATGTTCTTGGCAACTGACAAGAACTGAATCAGGGCGGTAGATACTATTGCCAGCTGATTCCTTCGTCAAATATGATCGATCCAACGAGAGATGATGCTGTGTCAGTGGGGTTTGCCTGAAACTGGTGTTCAGGAAATGACCGAATTCTGTAGAAAGGTAGGTAGAGTAGGTCTATGAGATGCTTAGCTTTACAGCGGCACACTTGGAAACTGTGGGAAGTATTTAGTGAAGTTATGTGGCTCAGTTAGTTCAGGTAGTCGAACGTCTGAGCTTGGAAGTTTGAGAGTCAGAACTGCAAACGCTACTTTGACTTATAGTTTAGACAAGGGGGAAAAAAAGAGCTTTCAGAGGAGAGTGCAGGAATAATCTTACAAAAAAGAATTTTTTTAGGACTTAGGTTTTGAGAAATAGAGAAGAACTCTTGTCAGCAGATAAAGCTGTATCAAGAGTTAGAATAAGAGTTGCCAAAACTCAAGCCTTACGAAG